ATATATATATATATATATATATATATATATATATATATATATTATTATATATATATATATATATATATATATATATATATAAAATAAATATAATATAAAAACAATATTAAAAACAATTTTTGGATTTGTTTCGATTAAATTTCTCACAGTGAAATAGCATAAATAATTCGAGGATATCTATCTATGATAGAAGCGTCGTGATTCTCTTAACAATGTTTCTGCATTGGACTATGTGGATATGTACCGTAGTAACAAACATAGCATCCTCAGTGGCCTACATAGTTGGCATAGCCTATACAATGCGAGAAATCGAAGCACGCCGCGATAATGCGTGCATCGCGCACTGACAGATAATCCACAAGAGACGAGGATCAAACAATGCGCCAGTAATACATCCTAGCCGACTTCGCAGCCGAAGTCAACTAGATCGGTCAAACCGAGAGTAGAGATAATCAACTCAGAATTCAAAATTCCTTACACGCAAATCAAATAGAAAAACAAAATTCTAAAATAATTTGTGAAATCATATTTTCCATATATCTATCAAAATTTTTGATATAAAAAATCACAGGGGGTTTCCCAACCTCGTATCCACCACTTCGTGTGATACGAATGGCTCTGTCATCGAAAATAAGCGAAGAAACAACAGCTGATACGATGCGCGAGTGAGATGGATGGATGGACGGATGGATACGAGGGAAGAAGACAGAAAGAAAGAAAGAAAAAGAAGAGAAGTACAAAGAAAAATAAAGGACACCGCGAAGGCTACTCACAACGCTTCGTTGCTGAAGTTGGGCGCTTTCGGCGGATCCAGCTGGTGCAACTGGCAATAGAGCACATCGAAGCAGAAGAAACCCATCTCCGGTTGGGCGATTGTTGTAGGTTTCCTCGATTGAGGAACACCGTGCCGTATGGCAGTGCCGTCGCACGGTGATAGGCTCGAGGCCGCGCCGCCGCCGCCGCCACCGCCCAGCCTCTGCTTCTTCGCTCCGCAGCAGCCAGCAGCCATGTTCCTCTTGGACAGGTCACCAGCGGACTCCGCTGTCCTGGCCCTTCTTCCAGCACCTCGTTTACGCGCTTCCTCGTCGCAGCGTATCCAACGTCGACGTCGTCGCCGACGCGTGCCGGATCGCGCCCGCGCTCCGCTAGATGTCGAGCCGACGGTGGCGTGAACAGCTGTTTCATTATCCGCCATTTGTAGTACGGCGTCGCGTCATCGCGCCATTGATAATTAGTGTCTCTGCTGCCGCCGCCGACGCCGCCGCCGACGCCGCCGCCGTATTGCGTACCGCGTGAAGTTGCCCGCGGGTCATGCGCGAGCAACATTGGACGGTGGCGTCCTCTACATCATTTCAAATTTTCTATCAGAAACGTCTACGATTTTTAATTTGTAACAGAAAATAATATTATGTACTGAACATTTGCTTTGCTATATTACTACTTTACATTGTAATTTTTTTATGCGAATCCGAGTGTTAAAGTCTCAAAACTGCGAACAGGAAAGAAAAAGAAAAAGAATTTAAAGATTTAAAATACTGAAATAAATGCCACATTTATATAAAATAGAAAGATAATAATGATATTTTAATTTAATGGTATTTTAATTAACATTTGACCAAATGTACAATATTATATATTTTAATTATTGGAATAATTATAACTGTCAATTAATTAAAACATATGATCGAGACACAGGTTCGAGCCTTGGCTGAGGTGATATTTTTTATATATATTTTCTGTAGAGGGATAATAAAAAGGGATTTTTAATCAATATAAATTATTTTAATGATATAAAATATATTATAATTAAGAATAATATCTAATAATAATAATATACTTTTATATAGGATTGACGCACATCAACTTTTAATGATTAACCTCATTTCTGATATCAATCATTGCATGCTACGAAAAGATAATTATAAAGTAACTGATTTGAATACGATACGTATCAATTCCTAAATTACAAATCTTGGATAACATTGGTGTGCGTGCGTACGTGCGTGCGTGCGTGCGTGCATGCGTGCTTGGATGCGTGCGTGCGTGGGTGCGTGCGTGCGTGTGTTGTGTGTATACAAAGTGTCTGATTCCTAATGGTATATTGCAATAAAGTTGTAGAATAAATTTATTAAAAAAAGATGATATCGAAGTAACTTTTCGGCTTACTATAAATCACCGAATTATGAATCGTCTGAAATAAGATTTATATGTATTACATACAAGATGCCTGATTCCTAATGGTACACTGTTTGTGTGCAGATAGAGCGAGTCAAACTGAGAATGAGTAGAAAAGTCGTCTATCAAAATTTTGCGATTTTCACAATTAGTAAAAAGTTATAATTATTAAAAATCGTCGAATAAGCGCGTAATCGCCTGGGCCATCGGCAAATGTCAAACATACAGCGAAATGTGATCGCCTAACGTTCAATATTACGCGCATTTACGGTTGCTAGGAGCGCGGTGATATTTGATAGACGTGAAGTGTGAACAAGTATTTACAAATGACAGAACATCTGTTTATAGTGCATACCTCCAAACAATTCGTTGCGCTCCTAGCAACCGTAAACGTAACGTTAATTAGGCGGTCACATCTCGTATTTGGTATTTGCCAGTAGACGGATACGCACTTATATGATTTTTAATAATCAATAATTCGTTACTAAACTGCGAAAATCGCAAAATGGTAGAGGACTTTTCTATTCAGATTCGACTCATTCTATCTGCACGCAAACGGTGTACCATTAGGAATTAGACATCCTATATGTAATACATAAATTTTATTTTAGATGTTTTACATATGCATATTAAAAAATGCGGCATATAAAATTATAGATAAAATTTTATTTGAAAATCTATTGTAATACACATTATAAATAGCCTAAAATGGACTCAAGGAGACGCTTACAAGTATTATTATCGACTAATTATTCACTTCATTGTGTCTACTATATAAAAATGTTACGTACTAGGTGAATTACTTTTCTTTCGTTTTTATAAGAGTTTTATGAATTTAACCTATTTAAAAATAAATGTATTTCATGTGATGTATAAATCAGTTTATATAAGTTAATAATAATAATAATAGTAATAATAATAATAATAACAACAACATTGTTATTAATTATATTACAATGCTTTAGACGGCTTTTTCGATATAAATTCCCTTAAGCATAATTTGAAATTTGGTATGTTCATAAATATATATATATATATATATATATATATATATATATATATATAGAGAGAGAGAGAGAGAGAGAGAGAGATCTTT